TTTATTGATCATATGGCTATCAAATATCTAATCAATAAAGCAAATTTGAATGGTTATATAACTCAATAGATATTATTATTAAAAAAATTTGATTACAAGTTAGAATACAAAGTTGAAAAATTACATAACCAAGTTGATTATCTTTCAAGGTTAGAAGGAAATTAAGTCCTACTCCTATTAATGACAACTTAGTAAATAAATCCTTATTTATCATTTCTATTCATCCTACTTAATATAACTATATTGTAGAATTCTTAAATTCTAATCAATTTCTGAAAGACTTATCCAAAAATGAATGTTATAAGATTAGAACTAATAGCATTCATTTTGCTATTATAATATATATATATATATATATATATATATATATATATATATATATTATCAAAGGATAGATAGTTTATTCAAATGATGCATGGTAGTTGATGAAGTACTGATCATATTAATAGCATGCTATATTAGCGTATGTGGGAGACACTTCTTGGATAGATTAATGGCTCAAAAAACAATGAAAGAAAGGTACTATTGGCCTACCATGTTTTAAAATGCACATGATTATGCTAAACAATATGTTCGTTGCCATTGTTATACAAAAACTAATTTGCATGTGGCACTTCTTCTCCATATATCCTTGTCCTTAGCTCCTTTCAAAAAGAGGAGAATTGATTATATAAAAAAAGATTATCTCAATTCTTCAAAAGGAATGAATTATATCATAGTTGCTCCAAAATACCTAACAAAATAGGCAAAAGTAAGGGTTGTCAAAACCAACAATGTTATCTATGCCTCTAATTTTATATATTAGCAAATCTTTACACAATTTGATTGTTTCAAAATCTTAATTAGTCAGAAAAGAATACACTTCTTGAACAATATAATAGAAGATATGATTGATAGTTTTAATATATATCATTACATGATTATTTCCTACCATCTACAAACTAATGGTCATATAGAAAGAATGAACCAAATCTTTATTAATATTATAAGAAAAAAAATATAAGACTCAAAGAGAAATTAAAATATGAAATTATCAACAACCTTGTAGGCTTATTATATAAACTACAAGATCATAAGTAAGGCCACTTCATTTTTCTTAGCATATGGAGTACAAGCTATACTATCCATAAAATTTGAGATTGATTTTCTAAAGATAGTAATAGATGATAGATTAACTATCTAAAAATCCTTAAAGAATAGATTAGAATAATTGAAACGCCTTGATGAAATTCAAAGAACGAAAGTTCAATATATAAAAGCAATTCAAAAAAGGAAAAAAATTACTTTTGATTAATAAAAAATATAAGAAGAGAGTCTTACAATTAAAAATACTAGTGTTGCTATAAGATGCTAAGAGAATGGATTTTTTTAGAAATTTTGATGCTTTTTAATTAGAACCTTATTATATTAAAGAAGTATTTGATAAAAATTCTTTATAATTAAAAACAATAAATGGTGAACTATTTCCAACAAGAATATTTGAGAATAGATGTAAGGAGTATAAGATATATATATATATATATATATATATATATAATAAAAAAAAAATCATCTCATAGAAGAAAAAAAACACTATATTCTTTGTTTATCTAAACAAGTAAGGATCTATTTAAATAACTTAGTAATACTTGATTTTTATCAAAAACTAGGGATCTTAATTCATTGAAAAGATAAGAAGTATTTTTTACATTGTTCTTAGTTCTACTAAAATATTATCTCTTCTATTTCATAAGAATTAATAAATTCTAAGAAAAAAAATTAAAAAAATAAAAATAAAAAATTATAGGATTTAAAAATAAGTTGGAATAAGTTAGCATCCTCAGGTTGGTAAGAAGTTGGCCACAAAAGTGGTTATGTAAGAGGTGGTATAGATTCAAATCTAATCCACATATGCAGCTACCTATATGAACTAGGATTAAAGTAGCAAAATGGCAAACTTGTGTAACTTAAAGGATATGTAGGCCTCATGGCTTCTTACTTAAATTCTTTTCCTTGGTTAAGAATCATATAGGACCAAATTTTAGTTTTTTTACATAAAAATATTTTATTTTTCTTCTTCTTTTGGTTTTTATTTTTTTTATTTTTTTATTTTTTTTTCTCGTAGAATTATTTTATCTTACTTTATTAAGTAGACTAAATTCTTCAATAGTCTTCTAACTTAAGAGAAGTAGCATTAGAAGGTAGGAATATACTAATATTGAATACAATCTTTCATATGAGTATTTTTACTTTGGTTCTATCACACTATTAATATAGTCTTAATAGAATATTAAATTTAATATGCCTAACTTTAGATAAGGACTTATCTTTTGAATGAGAATTTTGGATTCTTTGTCTCTTCAAGTTGTCTCAATTGGGTACTGTATGTGAGTCACTAAATTGACTCACTTAAGTATTTAGTATAAAAAATGCACTTATTGTGCTTAAAGTGATAGATTTTATAATATTGTGTGTTGCTGCAACTTTTTATTCCTTCCATCAAAATATTGCAGCTAATCAAAGGTAGGCAACATAGTACTCTCAAGCATTGTTTCTGATTTTTTCAAGCAATATTGTGGGAAGGCATTTGTCAACACTTGTTGGATCTCAAATAAAATTAGATTTTTGTGATTGAAGAGCAAGCTTGCAATATGGCAAAATTTTGTGCGACAATTGGCTACTACCTTCTTTTTTCTTCTACTTTCTTTCTATTCACTCTAATTTTTTTTTTTTTTTTTTTTTTTTTTTTTCATTGTAGAATGGCCGAGCTTCGATCATTCTAAAATTCTTCTTCATTGCTCTTTCTGTATGAATGTATAGTTATGGTGGAGGGTTATAGTGCAATGTTGTGCTTGTTAGAATAATCAATGTAAAGTTGTGTTTTGATATTGATTGGAGTGCACTATCATTAAAGAAACATTATCAATACACAAGGCAAGTAAAAGATGCTTAATTAGCCTTGAGTTTGTTGGAAACTTATGTATGCTTGAAGCTACTTATATTTTTCATTTTAATGATGTATGTGTGTAATTGTTCTACCTACTTTCTAATTGTGACAAGATTGAGATATAACTCAGACTATAGTTGGATTAATGTTGTATGGCATGTTGATAAATACTATTAACTCCACATTGAAGATACATATTTATTGTTGAGAATATATTAGTATTGGTGTAGTTTAGGTAGATTTCAAATCCCATGATGTGATGTGCACATGATGAGGATGAATTAGATATATATATATATATATATATTACTTATATGAAATAGCTTAGCATAAAATTTAAATATATATTTACATATTACTTAATTTTATATGCATGTATATATATATATATATATATATATGCAATTATAATCCCAAAAATACATTAAAAAAATGAAAAAAAAGTTTTGAGGATTATGTTTATCAAACATAATTTCAGTGATTCATATAAACATAATATTGAATAATATTAAATCAAAGCTACATACATTTGAACTCTCAATGTTTAATCTAATCCTTGTTGATTTAATTAGACTTAGAAAACATATGCGTGTGTGTATAAGTATATAAATAAGAATTTCAGTAATCGAAACTAAAAATTATATTATATTAGACATACTTCTTTTTTTTCTTCAGAACTTAATTTACTTTTGCATTATGTTGACTTTATCTTATTGATTGCTATTATCATCAACATCCTTACTTTCACAATTTTGAATGTTTTCATATTACATATCACCCTTTTTGCATTTGATCCTAATTTCACTTCACCATCATTTGAAAACTTCACACATTAATTTCTTTGGTATCTTTATTTTGTGTGTGTGTGTGTATGTATCTATATATATATATATATATATATATATTTGTTGTTAAAATATCTTAGTTAATATCTTTTTATAATAATTTCAAGTTAAAAAAATAAAAAAATAGAAGCTTACAGACTTGCTAATAGCTTTTTCATGTGATCATAATTGTAAAAAAAGAATTCCATCAAGAGAGGGAAAACAAGAAAATAAAAGAAAAAGTAGCCGTATATATAGCATGGTTAGTTCATAAGTAATACCCAAAGACAAGAAAAAAGTGCAGGAGTAACACTGAAAATCAGACTACTCATAACTAGAAACAGAAAGAAGATTTTTTTGAAGTCAACAGAGCTTAAAAGCAGTAACAACAAACATGCTTCAGAAACCAAACAAAAGCTTAGCCCAGCCAGCCGTGCAGCCAAATAAATTTCAAAGCGGCAGCGACTGCGGCGGGCGGGACTCTGAGGAGTGTGACATGTGGGAACGCCGCGCGGGAACGTCAAAGGTCACACGTTAACCAGCGTCAAATGACGGCAACGCGCGTCATCCCGAGGCATCAGCATGGGAGGAGAGAGGGCGTGGCTGCAGCTGCGGAGGCGACGCGAGGGGACGTCAGGCGCGAGCCAAAAGGGCTTTGCGAAATGCCGCAGAGCCTGGCACAGACAGATCCAGAAGGGATGCGGGATAAGAGGGGAGGGCGGAATCATGGTCGCAGCAGCGCCTGCACACGCAGAGAGAGAGAGTTCACCAAACCATCTTTCAAGTCCCTCTGCCATCCGCAGTCATGCAGCAGCAGCAGTAGCACCAGTTTCACTCGTGTGGATTATTGCCCTGGAGCACAGGACACTTGCTTTACATCCCGTAATTGCAGCAGCACAACAGCCTACAGTCGTTACAGAAAGTGCAGGCATGGGCAGCCTTCCCCTCGAGACGATTCGCCACCGAGTGGGACAGGCAATGGGGTTTACAGTTTTCTTTGCGCGGCTGGGTTTTGGAGGACCAGAAGTTTTGTGAGAGATTGAGAGGAGGAGGAGGAGGAGGTTTGACGAGGGAGCGCAGTGGGTTTGGCGAACATGGTGACTTTGGAGGACGTGTCGTCGGTGCTCGGGGTCTCGGTGTCTGTGACGAGGTTTCTTTTATGTTTTGTGGGGTCGATTCCTTGTAGCGCGCTGGCTAGGTTCATGCCGTCCGGGAGAGTCCGCAGTGTGTACGCTGTAGCCACGGGAATTTTGCTGTCGTATTACTCCTTCGGCCCGGAAGCGAATTTATTTTTCATTCCACCGATCGCCGTGGGGTATGGGAGTATGTTGCTGGCTCCGCGGCATTGTGGGGCCATCACGTTTGTGGTTGCCTTCGCGTTCTTGCTCACATGGTACGTGTCGATGTCATGCTTCGCAGTCATTTTGTGAGACTGGAGATAATTTTATCGTATGTTCATGAGATTTCTGAAGTTTGCCCTGCATGTGGTCCAAGGATTGAGAGAACGGTGTCTGAATCAAATTTACGTAATCCTTGCCAGATTTCTGGGCAGAGCATAGCTCGCTTCTTAACCTCTGAACTGAGTCAAGGTGCTTATCTGGCTTGTTTCTCTTCTTTCAGACATAGTATTGAATTTCTAAGAGTAGCCACAAATTTTGACCTGATCACCAAAATCTGTAGTTGGGCTTTGTTTTAAGAGAAGAAATACCTATTTTTATATTTGCTGATTGCAAGGTTCTTCTGAAAGATTCCTCATTGTTTTACCGCTATGGGCCACAACTTCCTCGTGGAAGAACTTCAAGAAAGATACGAAGATGTAATTTAGTGCTCTTTGACATTATCAGATGAAGTAGTGAGGAGATTTTAGGATAGGTACAGTGACGAGAGAGAGAGAGAGAGAGAGAGAGAGAGCGAGAGGGATGCTCTGTAAAAACCTTCGGAACTCAGTAAAATGAAAACTCATTAATTCAAATGTTCATGGAGGCAATGGAGATTGAGTTGCCGAAACTGGGTTTCAGGGGGGAAGTTGTGATCGCAGTTTTACATGTGCTTGGGAACTAAGAGACGTATGAACAAAGAGAACATTTTAAGGTGCAACGAAAAATATAGAGGGAATCATTAATGGCAACGCTACTGACCGTCGATGTGATCTGCAGCCATGTGATGATGTTGAGTGGTGATGCCTGGAAGAATGGAGGCATCGATACAACTGGTAAAATCCCACTTCTGTGGTTCCTTCCCTTCTCGCGTGGTCTCAAAAGTCCTCAGGCAAGCTGCCAACATTTTCTCAGAACTGATCATCCCACTTACCAGTACTCTTGATGAGTACGGTGACCAACTCTCGAGGTCTATGATTTTATTTTTGTTCATTTTTCATTGTTTATGCTTGCCAGGGCCGTGAATGGGGGCCCCGTAATCCCCTGGTCACAGCACCGGAGTCACTATTTCCATGACCTAGAAACGAGCCCACCAGGTAAGCAAGTAGGCATCCTAATCATGCACATTAATTCAGGATCTAAGTGACAGTCGATACTCACAGCTCTTGCTAGTACTAGATCACCTCATTGGGGTACGATTATTTACTAATTTATATTTCCATCGGTCCAGTAGAGCTGTGTCTGTACAACTATGGCGGAACAATCGTTTAAATCAAGTATCACCTCTGATGTACCCACGTTACAAACCACCACGAATTAGTTTCTAGGAGGATGTAAGTTGGTAGTTGCTCGTTGATTTTCGTTCAATAGGAACATTAACTTTAGACAGATTCATATACCTAAGGTATTTTTGTGTGTACATATTAATTCCTGCATGTTTAATTCATGCCAGGTGCACTTATGGTGTTGACGTTGAAAGTTATATCAGCATCTATGAGTTATCAAGATGGACTGGTAAAGAAGGAGGATTTAAGAGTCTCTCAAAAGAAGAATCGGCTCAAGGAGCTCCCGTCGCTCGTACAGTATTTGGGTTACTGCCTTAATTGTGGCACTCATTTGGCTGGCCCCGTATATGAGATCAGAGACTACATAGACTGGACGGAAGACAAAGGAGTACTGTCTAAATTTTTCATCCTTCTGTTTCTTCTCTTTATTTCTCTTTTTAGCAGTATCAAGCGTATGCACCTTTAGAAATCTTCACTCTTCAATTTGGAGGAGGATGTTGTTGGTTCTTTTGTATTCTTGAAGAATACTAATTCTTTATATATATATATATATGTGTGTCTTTTATTGTAGAGCATGAGTTTACGGCCCATCACAGGTATCAGGCCGTATCAAATGCGTTAGTATTGCTCTCGTAGGTCCATTGAGAACATTAACTTCGTTTGTTTATCCGTTTTCTTTGTATTCAGTAACATGTGAAAATCTGCTGGTGCAGCTCTGGAGCCGTGACTCCGCAAGGCCATTGCCATCACCTTATGGTGCAGCCCTTAGAGCTTTATTTCAAGCCGCCTTGTGCATGGCTGTGTACATGACCTTGCTTCCACGCATCCCGCTTTCAATGTTTGATTCGCCCGAATACCAAAAATGGGGATTTTGGCATCGGCTTGGATACATGTATTTGAGTGGGTTTACTGCTAGATGGAAGTACTACTTTATCTGGTCCATTTCAGAGGTTGCTGTGATTATATCTGGCCTTGGATTCAGTGGGTGGGCAACTCCAGATGATGACAAGAAGGCGAAGCCATTATGGACACGGGCTAAAAATGTGGACATCATGAAGGTGGAACTTGCCAAAAGTGGAGTGGAGCTGCCGATGTGCTGGAACGTTTCTGTCAGCACATGGCTTCGACATTGTATTTACTCCCCTCAAGCTTTGATAGTATTAAGATCTCCATAGAGAATGTTCTCATTTGTGTGTGATTTGTTTTGTTTGAATAAGTTCAATACAAGAAGGTCTCCAAGATCACTGCTAGGGCGATTAGGTAGATTGCAAGTAGATATTTAGATCAGTTCTCATTAGTTTACTTGTTTTTGTGGCATTTGAACAGATCGTAAACCCAAGTGTTTGATTATAGACAATATAAACCTCTGAGTCTTGAAGAGTTTCATTGACCTTATCTTACAGATGTCTATGAGAGATTGGTGCCCAAAGGAGGGAAGGCTGGATTTTGGCAGCTTTTGATGACCCAAGTCGTGAGTGCCGTGTGGCATGTACGTTCGCTGACGTTCATCTCGCTTCTGTCTGTTGTCTGTGATTTTCCGTCAAAACTGAAAATGGCCAGAATGGAAAACGGATAGCTGTCTTTTATGATATTTAGTTTGTGAATTCTTTTGCATTCTTAATCATGGTTTAACTTGATTTTATGAAATATTTTTCCTTTGGGGCCACAAGGATAGCGTAGATAACCATGCAACAATATAAATCGAGACTGGTGAGATTTTACTCTGCGTACAGTTCGAACGTTTTATTTCATTGTGTGCATCTTAAGGGAGATTGATTATTTTTCTCGTGTTATGTGTAGGGGTTATATATGGGTTACATCCTCTACTTCGTCCACAGTGCGCTCATGATCTCTGGTTCAAGAGGTAAAAGCTCCTTGACATCTGACACGTGGAATTAAAAAAAATTGCGCATTTGAGTTCAATGCCCATTACATGTGTTTCACGCTAGAAAAACTGCACCTCTCCGAACAAAGCTTTCAATGAGTAACTTCCCATCTAAGAATTAACTTATAATCATTTCTTCAATACAGTGATTTATAAATGGCAATCAGCACTTCCTGAGAATGCTATCTGGGCTCGCCGACTTGGACATCTCATCAACGGTCTTTTTGGTGCACTTGTTAACAACTATTCTTGTATTGGTTTCTTGGTAAGGCTAATTACATCCTACTCCCTCAATGCCATCAAAATCTTCCAAGCGGATGCTCAGATTTCTTTTTCTTTTGCTTGCGGTGCCCTTGCATGTGCTACTAATGTTGTTTTTATAGATATGTTTTTATAGATATTGTTATCAATCATATTCATATTTTCTGCATATGGCAAACCTTGGATCTGTTCTAATATGTTCGTGTTACTCTGAACAGCTGTTAAGTTATCATGAGACGTTGCAAGCATACAGCAGTGTACACTACGTTGGTACTGTTGTGCCTGTTGCAATCATATTATTTGACCTTGTTGTGAAGCCACCAAGAACAGGGAGTGCAAGAAAAACTAAGAAGGTTCAGTAAGCTTATTGGTAGGGTACTTGCATATCTTTTTGACCACGTTTTTCAGGAGGGATTCAGACATCAAGTTGAAATTTACAGAGGAAGTGTATGTTGGCCCCACGTGTGCACAGGATCTAGTGAACTTCGAAGGATCTAGTGTTTGCAATCTTGTATCATGGGGTTTACAATCGAGCTTTTGAGTGTACCCTACAGCTTTGTCGATCATGAAAATGCCTCTTTGGAATGCACAAGATTGACTTCAACATATGCTCGTGCGTTTGTAGTGTCATGTTTCTGAATTTGAAATCTGTGCACAATTACGGCAAGTTATAATTTTCTTCTTGAAAAGAATGTGGATGATTGTTCTTCTCTACTTTCCTTGCTTCGGAACGACTGCTTGAATGGCCATGGTTGTTCTCAAGTAATGTTTATGGCAAAGCTGAACTTCGAATGGATCATGTGAAGGCTAGATTTGATACATGTTCTCGTTTGGCGAACTAGATCCGGGTAGCAGAGTAAAACGAGTGCTTTGGGGGAGCGGAGACTGCTGCCATCTCCTTGGGCACATTTTGAACTTTTTATTAGTGCCCATTTGATACTCGTGTACGCCAACGATTTTGTGCTGTTTCAGATTTGCAGTTTCTATGAAATTCGAATCAGGGATGGCTTTTGGCGGGTATCGATTGAATTGCATGTTTGAAGGCCTCAGGGTGATTCATATGAATTTTCGTTTCTTAGTTGCTGCTTTGTTTTTCTTTTTTTGAAAACATACGTCCAATTCCAAGAAAAAATCATATTTGATGAGGGACACTACCTTCGGACTAGATTTGTGAGGTGAAGGCGGCATTAATTCTAATTTATTTGGGTTCAAAAACACTTAACATGTGTAAAGCCACTTAAATTTCAACTTCTAGCTCATGAACTAGCAATTGCCTAGTGAGCCACTATTAGAAAACGGATGCGTCTTTCAGCTCACGGACTGCTGCATTGCAATCAATTATTCGAAAATGGCAATGCATGGCAAAATCTCTGAAGTCTTGGTTTACTTCGTAAGGAAGACCTCCCACTTCGTAGTGTAGACGGGAAGAGTAGTCAGCCCTGGAGGTGCCAGTGCGAAGCCCCTGGCATCTCGGAAGTACCCAGTGCCGCCCAAGACGATGATCTCGTATGGACGGTTCGGCAATGCGAAAGTACCAGTGAAAGTGATGGTGGATTTGTTGTACTTGGCCCAGGCCTCGTTGAAAGTGATCTTCGATATACTGAAGATGCCTCCGCCTGAGCCCTGGGAAGAAGTGAGGGCACCAAGACTAGTAGACCTCCCTATCTGCTTGCTACTGGGGACCTCGCTCACGCGCTCCGGATTGTCAGCCATGATGAAGGTGCCCCACCCTGCAGCTGACAAGTTTCCAGCTCCAGTTCCTACAGCTGACAATACCGTGGCGTTGGGTGGCGATCGGATCTCGTGGCTGTAAAATGTCAAATTTAAGCTTTTAGCGGCAAGATCACACAACATGAAACTCAGCAGTAGTTAGCTAATAGGAAAAAAACACAATCATGTAGTAGACGCACAATTGGGTTCTAATCTTCGAAGTTCAAAATTGACGTCAAGCAGAGTCGATCAAGCATTAGGTTGAGCTGGCTTGCCCGTGACACTGGTCTGAAGGCTGCAAATGCACAGCACCACACATAGAGCATACAGGGAGCTTCTCATCGCGGATAGCGCCATGACTGCAGCAATCGATGAGTTCGGATCAGGGTTAGATGATGATGATGATGATGATGATGAAGAAGACGCTCTACAGCTCGCAACGCAGGTGAAAATCAAATGTTGTGGAAGTTTGAGTGCATGAGTTCGACTGGAAAGAGGCTATTTATACTCCCAGCACCGAGTGTACTGTAGAGGAAAGAGATGGTTGAATTCACAACTCAATTGCAGCTGAGACGAGCACGATGAAGCTCCGAAGAGGACAGCCGCTCAGGAAGAGTAAGCTTCGAGAGTAATTGCAAGGCAAACATCAGTGTTTGGAGTAGGATTTTTGCTCAATCGTAAGTGAAGAGAGAGGGAGAGTAACACCCGATCCATCCTGACTGCCTTGAGCGTTTACCGCTGCAAAAGGGACACTTTGGCAGAGCAGAGTAATTTTACGGTTACTGAGTGTGGTAGGGTTTGACCCCACTTCTGTGATGTAGCAAGAGGGAGTACTTGGGCTGTTTTGACCCAACAACAGCCATGAAACTCGGGCGAGTGGTAACCAATGAAGATAACATATGCGAAAGTACTAAAGGCAAGGCTGGCCCATGCTCCAATGGCCCCTACTACATCAAAAGCAAGCTGGAGGGTGGAACTTGTGAGGAAGGGAGATCGCGTGGAACCAAAATTGATTGCAGCTACAGCAAACCTAGGTAAGTATGCCTTTAATCCGATTCGTGCAATACCAAGAGAGCATTTACGTGAAGGTTTAGTCAGGAGTTGCACATATTTCTTGTTGAACACTCAAATTGTAGAGGTTCAGTTGGATGAGGAAAAAATCAGGAAAGCAATGAACTATCTCCAAAAGTGTGTAGTAATAGTTTAATTTGTGGGGAGTAAACTTGCAAGGAAAGCCTTACAAACATGGTTGGAAGGGTTCAAAATGGAGATGGGCAAAGATTTGCCATTAGGTTGTGACTTAGGTCATCTTTTCTTTTAAGTAGTATGCCTAAACAAAGTAGCTTCACAAAAGTTGCTCACCCAAAATCCACATCTTTCTCATTATGGAACATGTGTAATTTAGCCATAGGTGGTTGGATTCAACTCAAATTGTCATGTTGGCATGAAAATGTCAATATGAATAATTCTGAAAGGACTCCTAGAAGAATTAGTAGGTAGTGCTAGAGAACCGATACAAAGCATTAAAATGGTACTAGCGCATGATCAAAATAACAAAATAAGTGGAAATCAAGAATTCTACATTGCTTTAATGAATGGCAACCCATATGTGCTTACTATTGATGCCTATAATCCAATTACAAAAACAACATGTATACAAATGGAGTACAACAATCTGTTTATTAGGTACAGATTTTGTTTTATCCATTGAGCACTTGATTAAAGATTGATCCTTAATATATAGCCATTGCTTAAAAGTAAGAAGTGAAGATCAAATATAGTAGGAATCAAGTACCAAATCATATCCAAAGACACAAGCAAGATTAAATTTGCAAATAATTGATGATTAAATAATACCTGAGGCCTTGATGATAATCATTTCTTTGTCTAAACATAGTAAATGGATATAATGGCCACATACACCTACATCTAGCTCTGTAGTTAGCTCAAATAGATTAATAAAAGCCAAAGAAGCAACTTTATCACATCAAAATCAAACCAAGGGAGATAAGATAGATACAACAAATTTGTAATAACAAAGTTTAGAGTGGACTATTGGGCTTTGCAAGGAGCAATAGAGGGGATGGGAATCTTCACCAAATATATTAAAAATTTTGGACATTAATGAACTAAATGAGGTATGTAATGAATAGACAAATCAAATGGCAAATAAGGCCTAGATCACAATGAATTGTACCAATAAATAAATTAGAAAAGAGGTCTAGGTAGACTTAATATAATTGAGAGGTTCAAGGAATAAATAATCCAAGGCAAAGATTAAAATTAGAAGAACAAATCTTCTATAGAAAATAAAAATAAATAAATAAATAAAATATAATAATGGATCTCACGGTGTCATGATGTAATATGGCTAATTTATGAAAGAGTGTACAAAATATTATAGAAAATTATCTTAAAAATATAGATAATAATTGAAAGATAATAAACAACAAGTATAAATGTTGTCTTTTTACAAAAAAAGCATCTACTTATTTTGCAGGCTAAAAATAAGATAAAACTAGGTAAATTAGAAAAATAAAAAATATAGGCATATGTAAGGGGAGATTTAGGAGTTGATTTTAACAAAAATTATCTTAAGAAGATAAGAATTGATACTAAAAAAGGATCAGTTGTCAACTACGGTTGAAATTAGACCTTGAGATACAAAATTGCATATCTATGGCAATTCTAAGGTTCTTTTGTAAATTAGAGAATGGAGTTTAGAAGAGGACTTCATAAGGTTTTTTAAAGAATTAATTTCAAGAGATTTGAGTTTATAATGAATTTTTAAGAACTTTGCAAATACTTGTAAAAAATTTGAGAGCAAATTAATGATTCAATTAGGAGTTATTGCTGTTGAAAGATCAACATTCAGGTCAAAGATGGAGGCCGATCAACACCTAAATGGATTATGATGTTTTTCTACTATTTTTTAAGTTTAGTTTTCTTCAAATTTTTTGTATTTTTTTTAACTAAGAGATTAAAAAATATGTAAAATTTTAAGTAAGATCAACAATTTAATCAGTAATTATTGATGTTCTAAAATTACCTTAGGATTGCTTTGAATTAGTTAAATTTTGGTTAGGATTTGTTTAGGAATTTATTAGGATTTGATTTAGGATTTAATTTAGGATTTTTTAAGGATTTTTTTAAGATTATATTAGATTTTTTTTGAATTACTTTATTATTTTTTTATGATTTCTTTAAAAAATCTTTAGGATATCTTTGTTTGTTTGTTTGTTTGTTTGTTTGTTTGTTTGTTTTTTTTTTTTTTTTTTTTTTTTTCTATATAATTTCTATGAAAATACGATTGGACTTTATCAATATTTAATTATATTTGTTAAGATTTAATTATATTTTATATATAATTCTATTAGAATTTTTAAGACTTATTGTTGCAATTTTCTTTTACCTTTTGTAGCCAGGTGTCTAATACATTCTCAAATAAGACTTCATGTAATACAATATATTTGATAAATTTGACATGAAAAGCTTTATATAGAAGGTATTTGAAATTTTTTTTGGTTTATTTGAGATATGGAGAAGGAAGGCAAGAGAATGAAAAGAAGAACTTTTAGTGGTACTTTAGTTGGTACTTTAAGAGGGGTTGGAAGTGGAGCTACAAGTAGATGACAAGATAGATATTTTGATCTCAATTCTAGAAGCATATTTGAGGTTTTTTTCCTATTCATATAACAATAATAAATTAAAAATTGCAAAGAGGGTATAGAAAATAAAGCATTACAAGTGAATGTGTTAAAGACATGAATCTCAAAGAAAGAAAATCCTCAACATATTCATATATCACTGAAAGGAATTAGAAAGTTACTCAAAGAGAATATAAAATTGAACTAAAATGGCTATAGCCAAAAATAAGAAGATTAGAAAGTCTTGAAACAAGATTAAAAACTAGAAAGGCATTGACAAGAGTGAAGAAGGCTTCACTCTTACCTCCATATATACTCTCTAACTATGAGCTATGTAGTAATATTCTATAGAACTTCAACAAATGTTGACTTTGTTAGCCACATGTCTTAACTTATAATGCGAGTTATCTATGTATGAATCACATAGTTAGCTTGTTCTATAAGCTATTATATGGAATTAACTTGTTTTACAAGCTACCAACACGTAGTTAACTTATTGGCCAAGTTTCTATCCTACAAATACATCTAAAGTCAAAACTACATCTATGAAGCTTCTAAAAAGCTTCTCTAGAAGAATTTATGAAATTAATCTATATTTATCTACTTCTACCTAATCATATAAGTAACTTTTGAGATAAATATGTATCTTTGTGATATTACCTCCCTTCTAAACATGAATTGCATGAAGAGCAATCATCATCTTTCATGGATCTTTGCAATTCTTTATCTTAGTTTTGATGGATGTCGTCAATGAAAGGCCTCAATCTTCTTTAGTGTATGTACAAGATTCTTTGTTTGCTTCCATGTACATTTGCTAATATCATATCCATGCCAATGAACAAGATATTCCAACCTATTTTGGTGCCGACTTGAATCTAAAACTTCTTCTATCTAGAACTCTTGATTATTATCTAGTTCTATGGAAAGAGGTGGCATTTGTCTTCTTCTTGAGATATTCACTATCTTATATGGCTCAAGAAGGGATACATAAAATATAGGATAGATCTTCATAGACTCCGATAGATATAATTGATAAGCAATAAGTTTGATTTCTTTACAAATAGGAAAAGATCTTACCTATAATAGTCCAACTTATCTTAAAGATGAGTAGTCTTGATATTGCAACAAAGTAATTAAATCTTGTCACCCACATTGAATTGTAGTTGCTCCTTATGACAGGCATCTACATTGGTCTTTTATCATTCTTGAGCTTCCTTTAGTTGTGTCTTTAATGTTGTATGTAGCTCTAACAAACAATTTATTAAATCTTTTCTACACAATTATCACTTTCTAAAAAGTCAAAAGTATGAAGTCGTAGATGATAATCATAATTGGAAAAGAAAGGTATTTGTTGAATAGAAGAATATAGTGAATTATTGTATGCAAAATTTGCTAATGGAAAAATGATTGTCCAATCATCTTGATAATAGTTGATGGTACACCTCAAATATTGCTCTAAAACTTGATTTATCTGTTTTATTTTTCCATCAATTTGATAATGAAAATTCAAAGATATTTTTATATCTACATTTAGAATTTTGAATTGAATTTTCTAGAATCTTAATATTAATTGATTCTTCCTATGCAATATAAAATCCTTTGGCAATCCATGATAGCAATAGATATTGTCAATGAAAAGCTAAGCTATTTTTTCATGTAAAATAGATTTTGTACATAATAAAAAATGTGTCATTTTGATGAAGTGATCTACAATTACTAATATATAATTATATGAACTTGAACTTGAAATATTTATAATAAAATCCATAGAAATGAAAGACCATGATTGTTCAAGTATAAGCAATGGTTGGAGAAGTCCATAAGATTGATGACGAAGAGTTTTTGATCTTGAACAAATGTCACATGATTGGATAAAGTCTTTTATAGCATTCTACATTTGCAGCTACTAAAAATCTCTTGGTATAAGCTCTAAAGTCTTATTGTATCTAAAATTTCTTACTAATAGAAAGTCATGACATCCTTGAAGAACATGTAAACGTATTTTTTCTTTTCAAACATATAGGCATCTTTCGTAATAAATAAGGTTGTTCTTAAATTTGAACTTTGAAATATCATGAGACTTAAAAAAAAGTTTCTTAATGTCATGAATAAGAGGATCAAAGTACATACTTGATTGAATTTGTTTGCCAAAGGTCAAAGCAACAATCAATGTTGATTTCATTGCTTAAAGATGAAAATGCTCTAGCTTCAAGAAGATTATTCTTTTTTAATTAGAAGCTACATCTTCTTCTTTTGATGTAAAATAAGAACATTTAGAAAGAACATATGATAAACCTTGTTGTTTTTTAAGTCAATATGTGATCTTAAAATCAAATCTTGATAATGATATACTCTAACGCGCTTGGCAATAATTTAAAATATGTGCCATCATGAAATACTTCAGGTTCTTGTGATTTGTATAAATTGTGACTAGAATTAAAGCGCCTTCTAGATAATATCACCATTTTTGAAATGAATCCACAATTATAAAAAGTTTTTTTTTGTGGATCTCATAGTTAATCTTGGCTGCTGAAAATTTTCTGGAATGAAAAGCTAATAGATGGAATTTGTTATCTATTTTTATTTGTGACAATACTCTACCTTATGCAAAGTTTGATGCATCTTTTTCCATAAAAAATGCCTTGGAAAAGTCGATGTGATATAAAATATCTATAGATATAAATTCCTTATTTAAAGCAAAAAACGATGCTTCTGCTTCTTTATTCTATTTAAGTTTGTCTTTACAAGTCAAATGTATAAGTGATACTACATCTTGAAAAAAGTTCTTGATAAAGATTTGGTAATAATTGGCAAAGCTCAAAAAACATTACACATCTCTTATTATTCTTTAGATTGTC